GTTGCTGGGAATTGAACTCAGGACCTCTGGAAGAGCAGCCAGTGCTCTTAACCTCTGAGCCATCTCTCCAGCCTGGAAAAATGTAATTTTTGTCAACAGTTCTCAGATACCTTAAGATCCTGAAGACTAACTACTGTCTTCTTTTCATGACACTTGTTTATTGGTACCCCTCTCAGAATGTGCTCCAATTGAGTCAAGCACAACAGAATGATAAACACATATTGCCTCTTCAGCCACTTTTCAGTTACTCTAAGCTACTCCATGGCAGATGATATGCTACTGGTCAACTTGTGGGTGCTCAGCACTGTCAAGGTCAGCTCCTTTTCCAACTTATCATCTGGCCAATTATGTTACTTTTACCTACTTGGTTTTGACCAATAGTTCTCATTAACCTGTTTTCCTATTCTTTAATCCTTTCCCAATTTAACTAATTTAAAACATCTGACACTGCCCAAAGTTAGGTGTGATGGTTCACGCTTTTAATCTCAGCACTTGGGAAGCTGAGAAAAGAGGATAGCCAGAAGTCCGAGGCCTGTCTGAGCTAGAGTGAGAAAAACAAACAAACAAACAAAAAAACCCAATAACAACAATAAAAAAAAAAAAAAACAGGGATGTAGTTCAGGGGTAAAACACTTACCTAGCAGAAGTGAGAGGCCTTAGGGTCAATTCTTGTCACCAACAAAAAAGAGAAACAAACCCTGCTTATGTGGGACAACTTCAATGATTAATTCCTGAAGTTTGTGACAATCAGTTGACCAGATGGCTCAGACAGGGACAAATCTTGTATTTAGGAAATTATCCATTCCTATTATTCCTAGAGAATGCCTTCTGAAGGGAACCACACAGGGAAAATATCAGGATAGTACTGATGGTACATTTGAAGATGAAAAATATTTAAAACAAGCAGGAAAAGATTCACACAGGCAGACATGCATAAATATTATACCCCTTCCCTCATCAAAGGCTGGAAAGTAACCAGTCTTTGCAATCTAGCTATGGGTTTAGGGCCTTAAAGAAAGTATTCCCAGTGTGTTCTAGTTTGCTATTTTTCTTGCCATACCCCCCAGCTTCATAGACTTCTAAGGCCTGAGGTAACTTTTAAGTCTTCCATCAAGAGAGTCCAAGGGAGTTAGGCATCATCAGGACCATTTAGGGGAAAGTTTGAAAAACTATCTTTCTCCTCAAATTCCACATTCTTTCACCCTAACCCCAAATCAGAATTGAGTGGTCTCAACTTCGCAGGACACAATGACATACAAGCAGATCTAAGGAGTACATGTTTGAATATCTTCTGTAACAGGAGCTTTTTATATCTAAAACATCCTGACACCAGATCTTTGCTTCGAACAAGTAATTCCCTTCCTTCCCCTACACTACTAAAACGTTACTATGGAAAATTTGAAATACCACAAAAAAAAATAATGTAAAACACTTATGTATCTGGCTTCAACAACTATCGTATTTCACTTATAACTCTTCCTATCATGACACCTCACTTGGTTTAAGTTACATGTAATTTCATTTACAAATCATTTAAAATCAATTAATTAATTTGGTGTGTGCTCACACACTCTTGCCAGTGTGCATGTGGAGATCAGAAAGCAACTTGAGGGAATCTAATCTCTCTTTCCACCATGTAGATCCTTGGCATCAGATCATCAGGTCATCAGGCTTGGTGGCAAACACTCCTACCTGCTGGTCCATTTACAAATACATTTACCTAACTACCTATCCACCTACCCACCCACCTATCAATCAATATCTATCTATCTATCTATCTATCTATCTATCTATCTATCTTATAAGAACTGATTTAACTATAATCAGTATTATACCAAATTATTAACATAATTCCTTAACTTCTCTACATAACAATTTCATTCACTTTTTGTAAATATAGGGATACATTATCCTGCCCTTGTGAATGTAACTATCTCAGTAGCTTTCTAAACAAAACAATTCAATATGAACATATACAATCCAGATAAAACTATGTACGTTCTTATATTCTGACTCCTAGTCTTAAAACAGTAGAGAACCGGTCTACCCAGAAACTTCAATTTGTTTAAGATAGTTACTACATCTTTATTGTGGAATAATCCTTTTTGCACACTAAAGATATGTCACTGGCTGGTTTAATGAAAAACTAGGTAGGCTTTCCAGGCACAGAGGATGCTGGGAAGAAGGGCAAGGTCTCGAAGAGAAGCTGAGAAAGCATGACATATAGGAAAGATATGAGTAACAAGTCATGAGCTACATGGCAGGCCATAAATTAATAGAAATGGGTTAATTTAAGTTATAAGAGCTAGTTAGAAACAAGTTTTTGGCTGAGCTTTCATAATAATAAGTCTCTGTGTCATTAGAGAGCAGACAGTCCCAATGATAAAGTCTGACTAAGCATCTTTTTATTATTAAATTTTATTTATTCATTCATTTCATTTCATTCATTTGTTTTATCAAGATAGGGTTTCTCTGTGTAGCCCTGGCCATGCTAGAACTTTAGTTGAGTATACCACGCTGGCCTCAAACTCACAGAGATCTGTCTGCCTCTGCCTCCCTAGTGGTGAGATTAAAGGTGTGCACCATCCCTGCAAGGAGAGTGCTACCATGCCAGGCCTTGATTACTGCATTTTAACAAGGGGGAGAGGAAGAGGAAGAAACGATGATCAATTGGAATTAAACTAGGGGTAAATTCACATACAGCTGATAAACTATTTAAGTTTCCTATAAGATCAAAGGTTCAATTTTTCTTTGATAGTGAGATTACAACTTTCTATTGCCCCAAAGTGAGTGGGCTCCAGGTAGCTGCCCTTTTCAAACAACTACAAACAGCTGACATCTCAAGCCCTGACTAGTGGCACCATACACAGAATTTAACTTATAAAATATAGATTGCTATTCAAACAAGCGGGAACTCATCAGTACCCTACAGTACAAGGTGGAAGATCTGGGGACGACTAACTTTCCTTCTCCTCCACTCACTTAAGAAAATTTGGACAAAAGTCACAATTTTAGCCAGGCGTTGGTGGCGCACGCCTTTAATCCCAGCACTCTGGAGGCAGAGGCAGGCGGATCTCTGTGAGTTCGAGGCCAGCCTGGTCTACGAAGTGAGTTCCAGGACAGCCTCCAAAGCTACAGAGAAACCCTGTCTCGAAAAACAAACAAACAAAAAAGTCACAATTTTAACCATTTAAAACTGTATAACTCTGCAGGTTCAGGACATTCAAAATTTGGTACAATCACCAACAATTTCAGAAGTTTCATTACTTCAAAGAGCAGCCTGTACTGTTATGCCATTCCACATACAGCAATCTGGCCCATACAAACACTAATTTGCTTCCTTTTTCTACACATTTGCCCCCTTTAAAAATTATTTATGCTGGGCAGTGGTGGCGCACACCTTTCATCCCAGCACTTGGGAGGTAGAGGCAGGCGGATCTCTATGAGTTCGAGGCCAGCCTGGTCTACAGATCTCTGTGAGTTCGAGGCCAGCCTGGTCTACAGAGTTCCTGAACTTTCATACATCACTGGTAGGAATGTAAGTGGTGCAATGTTATGGAAAACAGTACATATACATAGTTGGGCATATTAGCGCCTGTTTGAAACAGCAGCCTTTAGAAGGCTGAGGGATGAAGAGCATGAGTTCAAGGCCAAGCCTGTGTTACATAGTGAGAGACTATATAACCCAAACCAAACCAAACAAACTATACAGAAAACTACCATATGACCACTCAAGTACATTGCCCACCTCACTCCCCACCACTACCACCACTGCCATGTTGTTTTTGAGGCAGACTTTCACTATGTAGTCCTGGTGGGCCTGGAAACTGCTATACAGACCAGGCTAGCCTCAAACTCAGAGATCTGTCTGCCTCTGCTTCCTCAGTGCTTCTATTAAAGGTATGAACGCCATGCATTGGTGCTTTTCTTTTCTAATCCTTAAACATTTCCAAGACCTACAGATATTATAATATTTGTAATGGCATGCTTGTAAAGGAAAATTCTAAAGTGTGCCTGACTCTTTTCTGACCAAAGACATACTATTTCTGTTACCCTTTAACTAACAGTATCTCACACCCAGCACTTTGGCAGATCTAGTAGGAGGTCCATTCCAAATCTGAGGCCAGTTTGAGACTTGTCTCAAATAAAGGAGCTGGAAAGCATTGGTGCTCTCACCAATGACCAGATTCAGTTCCCAGCACCTACATGGTGGCTCACAGCTATCTGTAACTCTGATGTCCTTTTCTGGTCTCCATGTGCACTCAACATATGTGGGGCACAGACATACAAGCAGATGAAACACCCACACATATAAAATAAAAATAAGTCTTTAAAAAATTCTAACTAAAAAAACCCTCAAAGAATTGAAAAAAAAACCAACATAAACTAGTAATAACCTTTATACTACAATTCTATTCTTCTCCTTTATCAATATGGGTATTTAAGGAAAAACCTTTAAATGGCCCTTTTCCTAGCTCTCTGAAATTATGTTTTTCTTTGTATCTTTTATGTTTAGGAACAAAAGAAAGTGTGTTCAAATTTGTATAATGGGTGGCAGAAAAAAATCGCTTGCTTGCCCTGAAAATAAGAGAATAAAAAGGAAGGTTCACATATAATACAGAAAGACCTAGAATATCTTCAACTCACCTCAGTGATAGAGGACCTTCAACTAGGCTGATCTTGATTGTTTATTTTTGAGGCTTGCCTGGTAATCAATCATTATGTAGACCAGGCTGGCCTCAGACTCACAAGAGATCCACCTGCCTCTGGTAACACAGGCTTAATTAGGTTTTTATTTCTAGTCTTACAAAAAAACTAAGCAATTTTTCAGTTAACTTAATCACATTTAATCTTTTGCCACCCCAAAAAGAACCATGGTCACCTTGTGACAAAGAAAAGCAAGATTAAGAAAAACTCCCCCACACCCCAACAAATGATTCACATAAAAGTATACTCTGTTTTACTACTGAATTTAAGAAGTTAGCAAGCAGAGACTATACCTGAGATGCTTGGCCTTGGGCTTTTGTAAGTTGAGCTGTCCGAATGTTTAAAGACTGGCTTCTTGTTACAGTTGCCCCAGAAAGGTATTTTCCATTCATCTTTCTTTCTAGGTGACAACTTGCCAGAGACCTCTCTTCAAGAAGAACAGCATCCCAAGGATCCTCTGCTAGCAAAACTGGATTCTTCTTCTCTTCTTCATGTTCTAGCATCTCCACACTGTCCACCTTAGGCTTACTTAAAGGATCCAAGTCTAACCAGTCAAATTTACTGATGTCTTCAGACTTTGGAGATACCTGTAGATTGCAGCCTGAAGCTTTCGAATTTGCTATTTCCAAATCAGTCCGTGCTTTCCCATTTTTTAAAAATTCTGATGTACTTGCTATTTTGTCAAATAGTTTTGCCATGTCAGGACTGACTAGTGGCCGATAGACTGGTAAACTTCCTTGCGGATGAAATGATGTGGAAGGTGTCAAAGGATATGAAAAGTATGGAGACTGTCCTGGAAATCTTAAATACACAGATTCTGTAGATGGAAAAGCAGGCATCCTTGGACTGAAGCCATTTTGGAATGCAGCCTGTTTACTGTATGTTGAAGGATAAATAGAAGGTACAGTATATGTAGAAGTCCCTGAAAATCCAGGGGTCCACTGTCCTCTTTGAATAGTAGGTCTAAGATACAACTGTGCTGAAAATGAAGGGCTCAGAACAGGAGTAACTGGCAATACAGGGTTTTTTCTAGTCTCAAAATTGTCATCCAGCAGTATCTTCTCCAGTTCAGCTTGGGTGAGCTTTTCTACATCAATATCTACTGCTCTTTTTTGGGAGTCCGACTCAGGAAACACCATGAGATCATATTCCTGTTTGTTAAAACCTTGTGTTCTTTGTCTAGTGCTGCTAGACAGCTCAAAGCCTCTAGGACTGCCAGTCATTTGTCTATCCTTCTGCAGTTTTGCTAAGGCCTCTGCTTCCATTTGTAATGCTTCTGCTTTGTCCACATCTTTGGTTCTTATTGGTTCTGGATGTGAAGATGAACACTGTTTGAATTCATTGTTGTTGGAAATCTGAGCCATGTCCACAAAACAAAACAAACCTCTTAATCTTTTTTCTTGTAGCTTCCAAAATACCAAGACCTATATATAAAAATAAACATAACACTCAGTTAAATTTTCTAGACACAAATTTATTTTGTTTAAACCTATCCCTGCTGGATGTGGTGGCACATGCCTTTAATCCCAGCACTTAAGGGGAAGAGGTAGGCAGATTCTTGCGTTTGAGGTGAGTATGGTGTACATGGTGAGTTCCAGGTCAGACAGGGATACATAGTTACATGCCATTTCAAAAAACAAACAAATAAGTTAAATACACACAAATAAAATACGTGAAAGGCTTCATGAAATACTAATGGAAACCTTATCCACTTTTAGGTTCAGAAGACTCTGAACCACACACTTTACCCTACTTCCTGAGTTATCAAAATACTTGGCAGAGCAAGTGAAGTTAAAGAGGCTCACATCAGCTGTCACAACGCCTGTCATTTCCCAGTGGCACTCTGGCTTTATTCTTGGCATGAAAGGACAAGTACCATTCACATATTTCCAAGATAGAGCTTATGATTATGCAACTAAGAAGTCAAAATAGCTATGATCCTCTTGTTATTTATTTATTATACTGCTCAAGAGCAAACTTTATCAGTTAATAAAATAAACACCTCTTCTTGATCAAAATCTATGAAAAATTATTGAAACTTTTTTATACTGCAGAAATGTTTAAAGTGTATAAAGTATCACAGCTTATAACAGTAAAACAAGCGTTAAAATTATAAAATGCTATAATATTCCACTCAAATATTTTATTGTAATTTAATTCATCGTATAGTTTTAGGTTGCAAGATATTTGATTACACTGTGAAAAGATATGTCACTGTGACTGGTTTAATAAAAACTAACTGGCCAATAGGTGGGCAGGAAGTATAAGCAGGACTTCTAGATAGAGACAGCACTGGGAAAAAGGAAGAAAGAGTTGCCAGCTGGATGCAGAGAAAACAGGAGAGGTAAAAGCCACAAGTCATGTGGCAGCATATAGATTAATAGAAATGGGCTAATTTAAACTATAAGAGCTAGTTAGAAACAAGTCTAAGATAAGGCCAAATCTTCATAATTAATAAGAAGTCTCTGTCTTATTTTTGTGAGCTGGCAGCCAAAGAAAAATCCATCTACATTTGTTCAACTATATTCATAGCAGCATTATTAATAATAGCCAGAACCTAGAAACAACCTAGGTGCTCCTCAACCAAAGAAAGGATAAGGAAAATGTGGTACATTTACACAATGGAGTACAACTTGATAAAACAAAGCAAAACAACAACAACAACAACAAAAAACCTGACAATTTGAAATATGCAGGCAAATGGACAGAGCTAGAAAAAGCCATCCTGAGAGAGGAATCCCAGACCCAGAATGACCAATATAATATGCTCTTTTTCTCATGTTTTTTATTTGTCCAACACTGATGTGGTAGCTTTTGTTTTATCTTATTATATTATATATTTTATTATGTTGTTTTCTAATAAGAGACAGAAAGGGGGTAATCTAGATGAGTGGGGAGGTGGGGAGGAACTGGGAGAAATAGAGGGGAAACTGTAATTAGGATAAATTATGCGAAAAAATATATTTTTCAATAAAAGGAAAACAAAAAACATGGGACCCTGTCAAAAAAGAAGGGGATGGGATGCTAGAGTAATGGTTTCCAGAGGACCCAGGTTCAATTCTTAGCATCAATACGCTGACTCATAACTAACTGTAACTCTCGTTCCAAAGGATTGATTGTCCTTTTCTGGCACTCTAAGTGTGCCAGGCATTAAAGTGGTACACACACATGTATACAAAACACCCATTATATCTACAATAAAATGTTCAATTCTTATTAATCTTATTATAATTTTTATCCATAAAATTGTTTTTCCTGTATGTATGTCTGTGCACCACATGCATGCCTGGTATCCATAGAGGTCAGCAAGAAGCATTGGATCCCCTGGAGTCACAGATGGTTGTGAATTACCATGCAGGTGCTGAGAATGGAGCCCAAGTCCTTTGCAAGAACAAGTGCTTTTAAAAAACTGAGCAATCTAAACTAGCTTCTAAATAATTGTTTTGTATTTTAATTTAAAAAGGAAGGAAAGAAGGAGCTATATGATCTTTTGCAAGTGAAAGTGTTCTAATTTTAATTTTAAAGATGGAAAATTAAAAGCCAGATTAAAGATATAATGCAGTATCTACCACTAACCTTCACAGTAACTCTTTGCTGATCACAAAGGCTGTGGCTACTTTAAAATCCTCTAAACCAGGGCAATTACACTAGTCAATCAAATGTTTGGACACTATTTGCATGCCCTAAAACAAAGGAATTAATTAAAAAGCTCCTTGCTCATTCTGTGGCAGACATTCATTTACAATTTAAATTTAAACTTCAGGAAAAATAAAACAAGTCAGTCTTGTTACTCATCTAAATGTTTTCTGATCTTAACAATTCAAGAAACTTAGCCAAGCGTGGTTGGCTCCCTGAACACTGGAGGATGATGTTCCAGAAAGTTGGAGGGGGGGATGGTGCATCAAGGGGTGTGTACCAGTCATGAGTTCCCAGTCTAACTTGTACTATATTGTCAAACTTTATAAAAAAAGAAATCTGACAACATGAGCTTAAATTCTCAGTACCCACATGGGTGAAAGAAAAAGCCACTTCCTGAAGAGAAAGGCAATTCTTCCAGGTTTTCCAGGTTATCTTCTAAACACTGTCACATACACACAAACACAATTTTTAAAACCTAAAGTAACAAAATAACAAAAAATTTAAAACTTAAAGTAACAAAAGAAAAAGAAGCAATGGTTGTAGTTCAACAACAGACACAATTCTTTCTGCTGTCAGTCACCATCATGGCTTGAATGTATGCTCCTTGGAAGAGCTTGTCCCAGTTGGCTCTGCTCTATTGCTCTACTGCCTATATCCCCAACCTGGCTGAAGGTAACATCCCATGGTGTCAAGGATAAGATTTACAAACTGGCCTCAGAGAGTAGTGTGATCTTGAGGGGCTCATGGTGCCACAGGTCTGTTTTGTAACTGGCAATAAAATTTAAGAGTCCTTTAGTCCAAAGCCTTACCCCTGATCTTCCTGAGTATTTCTACCATTTCATTAAGAAAGCAGTCACTGGCCAGGCAGAGGTGGCGCACGCCTTTAATCCTAGCACTCGGGAGGCAGAGGCAGGCGGATCTCTGTGAGTTCGAGGCCAGGCTGGACTGACAGCCTCCAAAACAATACAGAGAAACCCTGTCTCATAAAACCAAAAAAAAAAAAAAAAAGCAGTCACTGTCTGAAAGCATCTTGAGGATCAGAAAGGATAAAGATGTTAAATTAAGCCTTACTGCGATAGACAGATGAATTTCATTGACTTATTATAAAACTAAGCAGATCCTCCTCTCAACTGGAAGTATGAGTCATCCATGACCTCTGTTCTAGTGGCATAAATCTATCTTAAATACTCAAGTAATAAAATCACTTAAAAAAACTAGACACTATCCTAATATGACAATGATATAGAATCAATTATGCCACTATTGGAAATAAAATTATGAACCTGGGAAGACAGCTCAAGTCAGTAAAGTGCTTGCCACAAGGGCCTAAGTTTGATCCCCAGCATCCATGTAAAAACCCAGACATGGTTGCACAGGCTTGTGATCACAGCACTGAGGAGGTGGTTTCAGGTAAATGGGTCCCTGGTGCTCACTGGTCAGCCAGCCTAGCCTAATCAGCTGACTTCCAGTGACTGACCCTGTCTCAAAAAGAAGATGGACAGCACTTGAGGAAGGACACCCAACACTGACTTCTGATACACAATCACTCTCTCTCTCTCTCTCTCTCTCTCTCTCTCTCTCTCTCTCTCTCTCTCTCTCTCTCTCATGAAAATTATAATTACTAATGCTTGATAAAAATACAATAGTAAGTACCTACATATTTCTATCTATATAGAGCTAGAGATACATATAGATACTGTCACATAGTATATAAGCAATTTAATCCTTGCAAATTTTACAAAATCCTATTGCTAATATCTCTGGTTCACAAATGAAGAAACATAAGCACAGTTACATAACATGCCTAAAGTTAGAGCAGGTAGGTGCTAGAAAAAATACTCAGCACTTGCTCTTTCAGAAGACTTGGGTTTGGTTCCCAGAATTCACAAGGTGATTCAAAACCATCCATTTCTCGAGGTCCAGAGAGTCCGATACCTTCTTCTGTTCTCCAAGGCACCAGGCACACAGATGGTGTACATACATACATACACGCAGACAAAGAATTCATACTCATAAAACAAATAAATCTAAAAAGTAAAATAAAAGTAAACTTATAGCAGATAACAAGTGTGGAATGAATCCAAGCACTACTAACTTACATGATACACTTTTAAATTAACTGGAACCAATATAGGCTTAAATCACCATAAACTATCCATCATAAATATCAAATTTCCTTCTCAATCTTGGACTATTTTTTCCTGCACTGATAAATTTTGCTTCAGTCCTATCATGAGACAGTTAACACTGCTATTTAATTACAACATACACAATTTATCTGTTAATTTACCATCAACAAATGACTAGTGCATTTATAATTTCAGTGAGGGTAAGAATTTTTCCTCACTTCTATAAACAGATTTCTAATGACCAGACATACCCTTCCTTTTATCAAAGAGAAGCTCAAACTGGAAAACAAAAATCAGGCAAAAACAGCTCATTTATTAACAATTCTCTCTTTACTGGGGAAAAAAAATCAAATGGTTGGGTTTAGAATAAGTGGGGAGAGGCAATTATCTTAAAGGAATATGACAACAGAGAACTAAAAATAGGTGCTCCATCTCTATTAGAGACTGAAATACCAATAGATGAAAAGAGAATATTCTATCTCTGATTCATGGGAAGGGAGAACTCATTTAAAAAGAGAAGCCAAGTACTTTGGTATTAAACACTAATTTGTCACAAAAAAGATTAGAAGATACAGAATGCACAGAATTTAAATGAAAATTTAATATTTTCACCAACTTTATTAATGTATTTATTTTATGTGTATGAGTATTTTGAC